TCACACACAGTGAAGACACAACCACTGAGGACAGGGGACTGAGCGGGACCAACACATGTGTGAGGAGGATGTAAGATGGCGGGAGCAGGAGCAGGAGCTTGTCATGTTCTTTGGGAAACACCAAAGTAACCTGAGGAGAGGGTGTCCTCATGTGCCATCAGATAGGCTGAAATAGAAAGTAGGGACCCAAATGCTAGCAGGGTGAGGAGAAGTGGGGCCTTCACGCCTGAGGGATGGTGTGGAATTTACCAAACTCTGGAAAGAGCTTGCAGGTCTCAAAGAAGCAAAACCTGCATTTCCCCCACCTCTGGTCCTGGATCACATCTCTAGGGCCCCATGGGTGACTATCCCCACGTCAGCTGACCCAGAAGGAAGGGGTGCACTTACTCCAGAAGGGAAGAGGACTAGAGAGGGTGAGTGAAGTTCTCACGTTCACCTTTGGAGAATTGGGATGAGCAGGACCTGGGAGGGCCAAGGTCAGAAATGACACTGTTGTGCGTGAACCAGAAATACCCTGGGCTGAGGGAGTGGAAATCCTGGCAAAGGGCCAAGTCTGGGGCCCACAAATGGAGACAGCTTCTCCTTGAGAGTTGCTCCTGCTGCCTGAGGGGGCGCTGCTGGGTGGTGTCTGGGGCAGCTCATGCAGGTGGGCGCAGCTCCCACCTCTCTTTGCGGCTGGTCAGTCACCCCAGGAGAAAACAGTCCAGACTGATGGAGCTAGAGTGGTCTCTTCATGATCTTTGTCTGGAAGTTCCCTGATGGTTGCTCAGGTCCTGGGGATGCAGTACAGACAAGCTCTTCAATCTCCTGCTCATGCTTTAGTAGTTGATAAGAGATGAAGATTTAATAATCTGTCATCAGTGTGGATGCCACTTGGAGTCATGGAAGATTCCACCGCCCCTCCATGATCTCAGGCCCTACCAATCACACCCAGCTCTGGAGCTTGTCAGCACAGTACTTAGAGGAAGATGTGGTTTCTCTTTATAAAATGTGCACAACTGACATTTGTACACTATCCTCAGGGTTCTGAAGAGGTGTTTACTGGACAGTTGGGAATGGTCCCACTTGACTGTCACCAAGTTTACTCCCAAGAGTGAGTCTTCACATTTCACTTCTGCTCTCATGGCATTAGCATTAGCTCCTTCCAGACCCTCTGTCTCTGGCATCACCAGCCCCAGGGATGAATCTGCTGACATATGCGCCCCTCCCCTAAGGTTCTGAGCCTCCTCCCAGGAGCCTGTCTCCAGTGCCCAGGCAACAAATTGTCCTTTAGTGCCCCCAAGGCCTTCTGTCTCCCTATCTACACCTTGTGTGGTGAGAATGGGGAATGATGTCCATGGTCTCCAGGGTCCTGTCCTGTCCCAGAGAACACTCTCCCATTTCCATGGGCATTATCAGCATGAATGTGAAGAGTCATCACTACTTTCTTGGGAACTGAGCACAATCTCACTCCCTCAAAATGATTCTCCATGTGATAAATGTGTCAGGAGAGGTGACCTGTGCAGAGGGATAGCAGGGGGACAGGGCTCTGTGAGAATATTAAGTAAAGCATCTCCCTCAGAATACCCAGAAAGGCCTTCCTGGGTATGGGACTTTGAAACAGAACAGAGAGGATATTTTGTGTTAAAGAGGTGAGCTCCCCTGTCCTCAGTCTTTAGCTGTCACCTTCCCAGGACAAGAGCTGCCTGTGGTCTTCTACTGCCCCTGCCCCTGGCATCACCTTGACCATGAGAATTATGTCTAATTTGTACTTGGCCCCCTGACCTGGATTGACTATGACACCCAACAGCACAGGGAATGACTTTCATCTGCATCCCCTGTACATTCATATCATCGCTTCTATGGTCTGTTAGTCTGTACACAAGGTTACTGTGTCACTTTATTACAAATTATAACCATAAGTCCTGGATAGGTGGGATGCTGTGTTGTAGGAGGTCATTGACATATTTCCCTGCAGCAGTGAGACCCCTCCTCTACAATGGAAGGAGGGGGAGACCCCTTATTAGAGGGGTCCATTGGTGATCTTGGTTAGGACAGAGTAACTAAATCCTCAGTCAGAACAACTGTCATTTGGGTGATGAGGATGGAAGAGGGTCTGTGAGCTTCATGACTCTGCAGTCCTGGGTCAGCAGTCACTGCCAGGCCTGAACTCTGATGTCCATCACGGTCCTGCTCCTCTGCATCTTCTCCCCCCCCTCCCAAGACACCAGCTCCCAATTCTAATCCACCCATGTGGGAGTCATCCAGCCCCAGGAAGAAGCTGGGCTTAGCTCTCAGAACTGTGTCATTGTAGGGTGAGGCCCGATCACCTCTGAACAAGCCCAGGTCAGGCCTATATGCTAGGGTCACTAAATCACACTGTCTGCTGCAGAGAATCAGCATGTCCAGTAAAGTACTGCCCACCAATCCATTGAAGTTGAGGAAGATCCCCCACAGGCTGACACATGGTGGGGTCCAATTTCTCCCACATCAGTGTCCACTCTCCCCCATCCCTGCTGCTGGTCTCTCAGTGAGGATCCAGGTCAGTTCCTAGAAAGTCCTGCGGGCAGATGTGGAGACATTTGAGCATCAATAGCTGAGATTCTAACACATTAGAGACCCCAATGAGCCCCCTATTTGTCCTGATGAAGATCTCCTCACAGGAACCTCAATACCCAACTGGACTTCAGTCTGGAGCCTCCATGGTTGTCAGAACTCTCAGATCACCCTCCGCTGGGACTAACATTTTCTGCTGAAATCAATCCTGAAAAGTGGTAGGACACTCCCTGCCTACAATTCCCTGGACTCTGAGACTCCAGATTCTTCTCCTACTCAAGTGGTGGGCACAGGGCTGTGACCCTTGGAGACATCGTCATTGAAAGGTCCATGCAGGGGCCAGGAATGAGGGAGCCCACTTAGAAAAAAACAAGATGGCCCTGAACTAGTACCACTGATACAATCCAACGGGAAATGAAGCAATAAACAGGAGAAAAACAACTCGGCTCCATGAGAAACAACTTTGTTTTGCCTAAACCTGTTTCCTACCCTGCCAAGACAGCTTTCCTGCCTAACATCTCCTCACCCTATAAGAATGACCCTTCCCCTGACAATGGGCACAACTTCACTGGGTCCATGAACCGTGCCCAGGGGCGCAATAAAGTTTCTGCCTGTTAGAAACTGGCCTGGCTCTCCTTCTCTTTACCTTGCCAATCCATTCAGTCATCACCTGGCATCTCTCAGATCCTTCCTGTCCCTCCCAGCACATGATGCAGGTACAAATGACCAGTCTCTCAGATAAGCATTAACAAGTTTGTCTTTCCCATATTCCTTGCAATTCTTCCCTTGTTAGACAATTTGTCTTCTTGCATTCCAAGGAATACAGCAGGTAAAACAGCAAGCTGCGCCCACTTGTCTCTGTGCTGGCCCTTCCCCCTCCCCTGGCAGACCCTTGCCCATCACCTGCTTTTTGCCTTTTATAAATATTCTGCATCCTGGCAAAGAGCAGCACGGTTGTCTCTCAGACATGAGTCTGCTGCCTTCTCATTTGGTGATCAATCAAACCACTTTCCCTTTCCTCAAACTCTGTTTCCATTTATTAGCTGAGGGAAACTGAGGCCAGAGTTCAGTATCAATCACCCCACAGGCCTGAGGGAGGACACAGATGCTGTGTTGTCAAAGTGACATCAATGATGACCCGTGTCCCTCTCTGTCCTGCTGTCTGTGGAGAAGGTCAGTACCGCAGGGTTGAAGGAAAAGTGTAAAATTCTTAGGGTCCTGCCATGAAATGGGGAGTAGCTCACCCTGACCTCTGTGGTGAAGAGCCCTGGGGGACTGTGGTTTTGGCCTCACTTCCCATTTGTGTCACTGTGGCGTCACCATATGGCCCTATATTAAAGTCAACACTACAGTGATATTCAGCCTCATCCTCAGAGTGGATGTTGGAGATGGTCAAGTAGCGGTCAGCCCCTGAGCCAGAGTTTGAGAAGCGATCAGGGATCCCCTCTCCTTTGCTGTGTCCTCCATCATTCCTAAGATACATCACATTCTCTGGGACCCTCCCTGGCAGCTGTTGATACCATGCAATGGGGAAGGTACTGAACTCTCTGTTTAGGTGCAGGTGAGCTTGGCTGAAGGTCCAGGGAGGCAGATGCCGAAGGGGGCTGGGTTAGCACAGGCACAGCACAGAACCTGGAACAGAACCATGCTGAATGACAATGGGGTGACAGTCCTAAGGACTGTGCATGGTGGGAAATACTGTGAAGGAGGATCCCTGAGTGTCTGGGCTGCTCTGACTTGTGGAGACCGTGAGGGGCAGGAGGTGGAAGGACACCCAGGCTATGGTGGAGGCTTCCAGGAGCTCTGCCCTGAGGCTGCCCAGCTGCACTGGCCTCTCCATGCTTCTGGGTTATTCTCTCTGTCTGTAGTGCAATGAGGCGGGGCAGCCAATACAAATCTCTCTCCATTCCCCAGGGTTTGTGTCTCTGTCTTATCTGAGAACTGAGCAAACCTGCTTATTTCCTGAGGTCAGAAGGACCAGGTGTGGGGCATTGTGGGAGTAGGTTTTACCACAGAAGTGTCTTCAAAGGGAGCATCGGTCTTGTCCAGTGTACCTGAGCACAGTCCAGTATCTGGACTGGTTTGTGACCCCAAGCCAGGACCACAGTGCCCACTGGTGCCCAGGATGAATGTCATCCTGCTTGTGCTGACAGTCACCAGCATGACTGCTTCTGAGCCTGGAGATCAGGCCCTGGATGAGTGTGACATGGGCCCCTCACCAGACACTCGGAATAACCCTCTGCTCCCGTCTACTAAAAGAGGAAACTGGTGAGTGTAAGTGATTTTCTTTAAATACCCAAGCAGTAATGGGTAGGCTAGAATTCCCACTCAGAGCCCATAATTCAACCTCCTGGTCTCCCCTCACTGGGAATGATGTTTTCCTCATTTCCTCATGCCAGGCCTCCTGGCATGGATCCCAGCTTCTATATTCAGGAGTCTGTCCTCCCTTTGTCTATGCAGTGAACACTCACGGTGCTGCTCACGGTGCCGGAATCTGATTCCCTGTAAAATGTCTGTGCACAGAGGTGGCGACCCTCGTCTGTTCTCTCTGTGACAGGACAAGGGGACCTGAGACCTTTGTCAGGCTCCATGTGTCAGGCTCCTTTCCTGATATTTTAGGATGAGGATTCTTTCCAATGAGGTCATGGTCTCTGCATTGGAGGACAGTCAGGTAAGCCCAGGAGAATTTCTTTCTAGGGTATAGCCTGTGATGTGTGCACTTTCCCCTAAAGTCCTGAACAACTATAACTCTCCTCAGGCCTCTGCTGCTGAAAATGCACATGCTGAGACGGTGTACCTGGATGCCCTGAGAGGCCTCTCTGCCCCTGGGCACAGAGACCCTTGACACACTGCTCTCCCAGTTGTGTGTAAATAGGTGACTAACTCTGGGCAGGATCACGGACCTCAGGCCTAACCATCCTGTTCCCAGATTACACCCCACAAAGCCTTCCCCTGGTGCCTACTCCCCTCTAGGTGCCCCTCAGAGTTTCCAGGACCTGCTGGCTCCTCAGGACCAGTCCTCAACCTTCCCTGCTGAGTCTCCGTGCAGTGTGTGGCCAGTTGTTAGCACCACCCTGGGAGAATGGTCTTTCCTAAACAACCTGTGCTTGGGAACTTGGCAATGATCTCTCTATGAAGAAGGACAAGTCATCCAATTTCAGTGACATTTCCTAATGGTCAGCCACCATGTAGATCAATTCCAAAATACTTTTTCATGAGATTTACAGGATTGACCTTCTCTCTGAAAGGAATTCTGCACCACAATAGTAGTAATTCTCAAGAACACTTGTCATTCCTTTCACTGATGCAGAATACAAGTGTTGGGTGCTGACACCATGTTGAAATGTGTCATTGTACTGAATGTCTTGTCTTTGAGCAGGGATCAGCGTGGACACGTGTTACAACATTCCCTCATTGCTGGAGACTCAGTACCCGGATATTCATGGAGAGTGGAGCTGTCCTTCCCTTCATGAGCTCTGCTTCATGGGACCTGCCATACCTCCTGGCGCCTGTGAGAACAGCTGCAGGACAGATGCTCAGGGTTTTTCTCATTTAGAAGCTTCGTCATTTTCTGCTCTGTCTTGTGTTTGCACTGTTTTCATGAGGATTCTGTTCTCATGTTTGTCCTTGAGCAAATGAGTCTTTCTGGGTCTCCACTGGGGAGTCTCTCCCTAAACTGTTCCTTCCAGCGTGGGTAGAGCTGTGTTCCTCTTTTCCCTTTGAGCTCTTGATTTGCTAAATACCAAGCTCTGTGTATTAATAGCTTTTATCAAATTTGGAATATTTGATAAAATATTTGGTCATTTCTCAAATATATTTTCTTTTCCAAATATTTGTTCTAGCCGCCATTCCTTCCCCAAGTTCTCCTTAGTGCCATCGTTACAGATATTTGGTACCTTGATTTGATAGCCTCTTGTACCTCATATAACTGGTTGTTTTTTCACTTTTCTCCTTTCTCTGAGTATCAAACAACATTTTAGGCTGTTATCACAAAGTTCAGTAATTTTTACATTTGCATCAAGTAATTTTCTGCCAGTGCCTTCCATTGTATTATTATATCTCAGAAAGTGTCATGTTTATTGCTAGAATATCAACTGTGCTCATATTTCAATATGTCCTGTGTTTTATTTAGCATGTTCCCTCATCGGCTTCTCTTACAAAGGGAATATTTTCAATATAATAGTCTCCATAACTAGTTATTTGGCATCTAGAATATTTCACTGTCAGGATGGCTCACTTCCTCATGGGCCCATGTCACTGTGGACGATTGTAACTGCTGTCTAGTGACAGGCAGTAATAGTCAGCCTCATCCTCAGCCAGGGCCCCGCTGATGGTCAGGGTGGCCGTGCTGCCTGAGGAAGAGCCTGAGAATTGGTCAGGGATCCCTGAAGGCCTGTGAACATTATTACCACTAACAAAAGTGAGCTAGACAGGGGCCTGGCCGGGCTTCTGCTGGAATCACTGAGCAGCAGTGTTTATTCCTTGGCAGGTGATCGTGGCCATCTGACCCAAGGACACAGAGACTGACTGTGGCTGACTCAGCTCAGCAGTGACCACTGAACCTGCAAAAGGAGAGGAGAAGTGAGGTGAGTGTGAGGATGAGGGTCATTCCCAGAGGACACAGCCCCTGCTGCATCCCCTGTGCTGAGCTGAAGGTCAGGCCACTCTGCTCCCTGGTGTCTTTGTGGGCTGATCCCTAGGGCCAGCACCTGTGCAGATAATGAGGAGGGGGAGCAGGAGAGGGCTCCAGGCCTGGTGCAGATATCTCAGGATCAGCTTCTAAGCCTTCAGCTGGGATGGGTGCTCAGGGCCTCTCTTATCCTCGAGTGGCATGCAAATCTACTTCCTACCTCCCTGTGGCCTTGCTAGGGGCTCTGAAGAACAGACAGAGCTCAGCTCATAGAAGACTCTGAAGTGCAACCTAGTGCCTGGTCTGTACTAGACATTCTAAGACCCTTTGTGTGGCTTTTGAGACAGTGTTTCCTGTGCACACAACACAGGCTCACACACACACACACACACGCACACACACAAATACTTCCATCTGTGCCCTGGACCACGCCTCTGGTTTGGGGCAACCTTCATCACTCTCTCTAGTGAGGAGAACACACACGACGGAGTTTGCAGACTACAGGAGGGAGCTGTGGGGACAGAGGGTTAGAGGCCCAATTTCATGCCCACACAGGGAACTGGGTCATGTAACCTCAAGCAATAGCTCTTGTTTAGGTTTAAAGAATCTACAGGAGACACGTTTGGAATGAAAGTGTAAATAACGGAAGCGTAATGTATGAAAGGAAGATGAATACACTCATCAAAACTCCAATCTTTTGTTTTATAAAACCTCCTCCACAGCATTAAATAAACAAGTAACAAGCAAGAGAAAAGATTAGCAAAGACATCTCCGATGACCAGCGAGTGCAGAGAGGATACTAGGAAATGTGATCACACACAGTGAAGACACAACCACTGAGGAAAGAGACTGAGCGGGACCAACACATGTGTGAGGAGGATGTAGGACGGCAGGAACAGGGGCAGGAGCTTGTCATGCGTCTTCTGGAAATGCGAAAGTGACCTGAGGAGAGGGTGTCCCCATGTGCCATCTGATCGGCAAAGTAGAAAATAGGGGCCCCAAATGCTAGCGAGATGAGAAGTGGGACTTTCACGCCTGAGGGATGGTATGAAATTTACCAAACTCTGGAAAGAGTTTGCAGGTCACTGAAGAAGGAAAACCTGCATTTCCCACACCTCTGGTCCTGGGTCACATCTCTAGGGCCCCATGGGTGACTTTCCCCACTTTAGCTGGCACAGAAGGAAGGGGTGCACTTATTCCAGAAGGGAAGAGGCCTAGAGAAAGTGACTGAAGTTCTCAAGTTCACCTTTGGATAATTGGGAAGAGCAGGACCTGGGAGGGCCAAGGTCAGAAATGACACTATTCTGGGTGAACCAGAAAGAGCCTGGGCTGAGGGAGGGGAAATCCTGGCAAAGGGCCAAGTTTGGGGCCCACAAATGGAGACAGCTTCTCCCTGACAGTTGCTCCCACTGCCTGAGGGAACACTGCTGGGTGGTATCTGGGGAAGCTCAGGCAGGTGGGTGCAGCTCCCACCTCTCTTTGGGGCTGGTCAGTAACTCCAGGATAAAACAGTCCAGACTGATGGAGCTAGAGTGGTCTTTTCCTGATCTTTGTCCTGGAATTTCCCTGATGATTGCTCAGGTCCTGGGGATGCAGTGCAGACAAGCTCTTCAATCTCCTGCTCAGGCTTTAGTAGTTGATAAGAGATGAAGATGTAATAATCTATCATCAGTGTGGATGCCACTTGGAGTCATGGAAGATTCCACCACCCCTCCGTGACCTCAGTCCCTACAGATCACACAGCAGTTCTGAAACTTGTCGGCACAGTGCTTGGAGGAAAATCTGGTTTTTCTTTATAAAATGTGCATAGTTGACTTTCGTACATTATCTGGGGGACCAAATATGACAACTTGCCTGCATGAACAGACACAGGAGATGGAGCCCCACTCAGGGCTCTGAAGAGGCATTTCCTGGGGCATTGGGAATGTTCCCACTTGACTCTCACACAGGATCACAGCCAGGAGGGAGTCTTCACACTTTTGTACACCATCATCTGCACACAATGTGTTATTATGGAATAAAATAAGGACTATAATTTATCTCTCTGGTGAGAAACTTGTTTTTGAGTTACATGCTCATGACTTAAAAAGAGTGTGCTTATTGTGTTTATATTGCATTATGGAGGTGTAGTTCCAACACACTGGACTGTAGCAAGTGCACATGTAAATTCAATGTATTGTGGTATCTACAGATATGTGCTAATTAACAATGTTTCCACCTACTAACAATATTTCATTACTAAAAGGCACCCCATCCCTCATTGCTTGCTCTTGCCTCCATGCACCGCAGTTCTAAAAAAAATGCTGTATTTTTCCGTATCTATACAATTCTCTATTCAGGATCCTGAAATGAGTATACATGTGGTCTTGTGAGTGACTCCTTCACTGTACAATGTGTTCTAGGTTCTTCCATGTAGTGGCCTATGGCAGAACTACACACAGTGTATGGCTGAATAACAGTCTACATTATGAACGTACCAGGTCTGTTATCCTCTTACCAAGGATGGGCATTTGATTGTCTGCACCACACGTCTAACAGGCAAGACAGTGTTGTTGTGGGGAGTCACCCTTCTCTTTCCCATTCATGCAGGTGCACAGGACACATGTCTTCTTATGATTCTAAGTCTCCAGCCTGGGCTGAGTACTGATCATTATAGCGAAACCTGTCACTTTTAATCAGTTCAGTCACTCCAGGGTGCCCCCTGGGCCGGTTATCTTGGGGTTTCAGCTGTTGCAGGTGTCTGCATCCCCCTTCCTGCAAGATCATAGCTAAGAGAGGTAAAAACATTTTGCTGTGTGGGCTTGAGCTCAGATGATAACCTCAGTGCTGTGAGTTACTCCATCTCTTTTGTGAACACCCAGTGTGTGCTTCTCTGTTATTAAAGCCCAAAGAAACTGACTGGTCACTCCAAAACCTCTGTTCTCGGGTGTCTGCAGTCACTCCACCCAGAACCCGGTGTCTCTGTGCATGTGAATTTCTCTGAGGGTCCCAGGGAGGCAGATGCAGAAGGGGGCTGGTCAGCATAGCCACAGCGCAGAGACCTGGAACAGAAAATGCAAGAACCATGCTGAATGACAATGGGGAGACAGCCCTATGGGCTGTGCACAGTGGGAAATACTGTGAAGGGGGACCCCTGAGTGTCTGGGCTGCTTTGACTTGTGGAGACCATGAGGGGCAGGAGGTGGAAGGATACCCAGGCCATGGTGAAGGCTTCCAGGAGCTCTGCCCTGAGGCTGCCCAGCTGCACTGGCCTCTCCATGCTTCTGTGTTATTCTCTCTGTCTGCAGTGCAATGAGGCGGGGCAGCCAATGCAAATCTCTCTCCAGTCCCCAGGGTTTGTTTCTCTGTCTTTTCTTGGTCCTGAGCAAAAGGGCATCAAGCTGCTGATTTCCTGAGGTCAGAAGAAAGACAAGGTGTGCGGTATTGTGGGAGCTGGTTGTACAGCAGAAGTGTCTTCAAAGGGAGCATCAGTCATGTCCAGTGCACTTGAGCACAGCCCTGTGTCTGAACTGGTTTGTGGCCTCAAGGCAGGACCACAGCGCCCCCTGGTGCCCAGGATGAATGTCATCCTGCATGTGCTGACAGTCACCAGCATGACTGCTTCTGACCCTGATGGAGACCAGGCCCTGGGTGAGTGTGATAAGGGCCCCTCACCAGACACTCAGAATAACCCTCTGCTCCCATCTTCTAAAAGAAGAAACTGGTGAGTGTAACTGACCCTCTAAATACCCAAGAAGTAATGGGTAGGCTAGAATTCCCACTCAGAGCCCATAAAATTCACCCTCCTGACCTCCACTCACTGGGCATCATGTTTTCTTCCTTCCCTCATCCCAGGCCTCCTGGCCTCTCCTTTCAGGACCCAGCTTCTGTATTCAGGCATCTGTCCTCCCTGCGTCTATGCAGTAAACACTCAGCTGCTCACGGAGCTGGAATCTGATTCCCTGACAAATGTCTGTGCACAGAGGTGGGGACCATCGTCTGCTCTCTATGTGATAGGACAAGGGGACCTGAGACCTTGGACAAGCTCCACGTGTCAGGCTCCTTTCCTGATATTTAGGGATGAGGATCCTTTCCAATGAGGTCAAGGTCTCTGATTGGAGAACTATCAGGTAAGCCCAGGAGAAATTCTTTCTATGGTATAGCCTGTGATGTGTGCACTCTCTCCAATTGTCCTGAATAAATATATTTGAGCTCGGGCTCCTGCTGCTGAAAATGTACAATGTGACTCACTGACACATGATGAGACGCTGCACCTGCACCCCCTGAGAGACTCCTGTGCCCCTGGGCATAGACATCCCTGATGTGCTGCCATCCCAGTTGTGTGTAAAGAGGTGACTAAGACTTGACAGGGCCACAGACCTAAGGTCTGTCCATCCTGTTCCCATGTTAACACACCACAAAGGCCTTCTCCTGATGCCTTCTCCCCTCTAGGTGCCCCTCAGAGTCTCCAGGGGCTGCTGGCTCTTCAAGGCCAGTCCTCAACCTTCCATTCTGGTTCTCAGTGCAGCGTGTTGCCAGTTGTTAGTACCATCCTGGGAGAACGGACTTTCCTAAAGAGTTAGTGCTTGGAACTTGGCAAAGATCTCTCTATGAAGAAGGACACGTCATCCGACTTCAGAGACATTTCCTGATGATCAGCCACTATATAGATCGATTCCAATATGATTTTTCATGAGATTTACATGATTGACCTTCTCTCTGAAAGGGATTCTGCACCAATTAGAAATAATTCTCAAGAACCCTTGTCATTCCTTTCACTGATCAGAAAACAAGTGTTGGGTGCTGACACCATGTTGAAATGTGTCATTGTACTGAATGTCTTGTCTTTGAGCAGGGATCAGTGTGGACACGAGTTACAACATTCCCTCATTGCTGGAGCCTCAGTACCCAGATATGCGTGGAGAGTGGAGCTGTCCTTTCCCTCATGAGCTCTGCTTCATGGGACCCGCCAAACCCCTGGTGCCTGTGAGAGCAGCTGCAGGGACAGATGCTCAGGGTTTGTCTCATTTAGAAGCTTCGCCGTTTTCTGCCCATCACATGCTGCATCGTTGTCGTGAGGATTCTGTTCTTGTGTTTGTTCCTGAGCAGATGAGTCTTTCTGAGTCTCTACTGGGGAGTCTCTCCCTAAACTGTTCCTTCCGGCGTGGGTAGAGCTGTTTTCCTCTTTTCCCTTTAGCTCTTGGTTTGCTAAATACCAAACTGTGTTTATTAACAGAGTCATTTAATACTAAATAAAAATACATTTTTATAAAAATATATTTTTATATTAAATAAAAATATATTTTCTTTTTCCAAATATTTGTTCTAGCCTCCTTTCTTACCCGGCTTTCTCCCTAGTGTCATCACCTACACACATTTGGTCCCTTGATATTCTCCTGCACCTCACATAACTGGTCATTTTCTCACTTTTTTCTTTTCTCTGAGTATCAAACAACGTATTAGATGGTTACATCATAGAGCTCAGTAATCTTTACATTTGCATCAGTGATTTTTTGCCAATGTCTTCAATTGTATTATTACATCTCAGAAAGTATCATGTTTATTGCTAGAATGTCAGTTGTGCTCATATTTTAATGTGTCCCGTGTCTTATTTAGCAAGTTCACTCATCTACTTAACTCACAACAAGGGAACATTTTTATGATAATGGTCTCTGTATCTAGATACATGACATCCTGAACATTTCACTGTCAGGATGGGCTCATTGAGGTTTGTATTATCAGGGCTAATGTATTTCTAAATCTTCACAGAAAGTTTTTGATAAATGCCAAAATTTATGAATGTCCTGTGCTAGATGCTGGGGACCTGTCATTATTATCTTTTTCCCTTACATTTTGATCTGTAAATTCCCTGGACACATTCAGTCCTTGCTCTCAACTTGCTTGTTTACACCCTCCGAGGGTCCAGAGCAGCCTAAATTTTGGGCAAATTGTCCTACTAGTGGTCAAAGCACTCCTGACAGGCAACCAATGCCTTAATAGGATCTGTCTCTTCTGAACAGGGAAGAAGCAAAAATGACTGTGTGTGCCTGTGTGTGTACAGTTGTGTGTGTGTGTGCCTGTGTGTGTGGCACAGGTGTGTTTCCGCGCATGTGTGTGTGTGTATGTGTGTGCGCTCCATAAAAGGAGCTCCCTCTGAAGTCTCAGGGAGGTTATTCCTCCTGCCCATCCTCTTCCTCCCTCACCCCTGTGCTCATCTGTGCTTTAGAATCTTTGCTCAACTCCAGAGCTGTCTCTGCAGGTCCTCGTGCTCTGCCCTCTCAGTCTTTCCACCTTGGTCCTCAATCCCCACAACTCTGTGGTCAAGGAAACACCTGGAGCCCCTTCCTGCAGTCCCAAATCCACTCAGCATTCACATCTGCAGAGAATGCCTGAGAGCTGGGGTGGGACAAAGGACTTGGACCCAGGTCACCTCCTTTTGCCTGTTTCTCCTCCTCCTGGGACTGGAGGAGTGCGTGACCCAGATGGGGACGGGGTTTTTGTCTCACTTCCCCTTGGCTCCATGTCACTGTGGGATGATTATAACTGCTGTCTGGTGACAGGCAGAAATAGTCAGCCTCATCCTCAGCCTGGGCCCCGCTGATGGTCAGGGTGGCTGTGCTCCCTGAGCTAGAGCCTGAGAATCGGGCAGGTATCCCTGAAGGCCTGTCGCCATTACTACTAAAGAGCATCACAGGGGCCTGGCTGGGCTTCTGCTGATACCAGCTAGCATAAATGTTTATTCCTTGGCAGGTGATCGTGACCGTCTGTCCCAAGGCCACAGAGACTGACTGTGGTTGACTCGGCTCAGCAGTGACCGCTGAACCTGCAAGAGGAGAGGAGAAGAGAGGTGAGTGTGAGGATGAGGGTCATTCCCAGAGGAAACAGCCCCTGCTGCATCCCCTGTGCTGAGCAGAAGGTCAGGCCAGGCTGTTCCCTGGTGTCTGTGTGGGCTGATCCTTAAGGCAGCACCTGTGCAGATAATGAGGAGGGGGAGCAGGAGAGGGCTCCAGGCCATGGTGCTGATGTTGCAGGATCAGCGTCTAAGCCTGCAGCTGGGATGGGTGTTCAGGGCCTCTCTTATCCTCGGGTGGCATGCAAATCTACTTCCTACCTCCCTGTGGCTTTGCTAGGGCCCCTGAGGAACAGACAGAGCTCAGTTCATAGAAGACCTGAAGTTCAACCTAGTTCCCAGTCTGCACTAGAGATTCTAAGACCTGTGGACACAACACACTCTCACACTCTCTCTCGCTCTCTCTGTCTCTCTCTCTCACACACTCACACACACACACACACACAAACAATCTTCCATTTGTACCCTGGACCACCCTCTGTTTTGGGACAACCCTCATCACTCTCTCTAGTGAGGAAAACACACGTGGGGTGGACTTTGCAGAATTGAGGAGGGAGCTGTGGGAAC